ATGTTTATTTTGGCCAAAATTTACAATTGAAATAAATAATTTGCCTGAATTCATCAAAAAATCCAAGCGATCAAGCTAGACTTCTAGCTCTTCAAGAACCAGAGAGCAGTGCCTGGCTCCAGGCTCTGCCATCCTCTGCACTAGGGAATCTTCTAGAAGGCACCACCTTCCGCATCTACGTCTCCTTGCGATTGGGTCAACCCTTATGTGAGACACACGACTGCACTTGCGGCAAAACTGTAGACATTTTTGGGCATCACGCCTTGAGCTGCTACAAAAGTGCCGGTCGTTTGTCTCGTCATGGGCTAATCAACAATATTATTGAAAGGGCTCTGGCATCTGCGGGTATTCCCTCAGTGCTGGAACCTCCTGGATTATGTCGCGGAGATGGAAAGCGTGTTGATGGGCTCTCCTTATTTCCTTGATGCAGAGGTAAGTCTTTGATATGGGACGCCACGTGCAGGGATACTTTTGCAGCATCTTATTTGGCAAATACCTGCAAAAAATCTGGAGAAGCTGCACGTGGTGGTGAAATGCAAAAAACTAAAAAATATGAAGAGCTTGAAGCCAGTGGATACATCTTCGTACCATTCAGTGTTGAGACAATGGGCCCCTGGGGAGAAGAAGCAAAATCTCTTATAAATAAAATAGCCAAATTAATAAACAACAAAAATGCTCGCTGTTACATTACTCAACAGATTAGTATTGCAATTCCACGTGGTAACGCAGCTTAAATACTTGGGACCATTCCTGAAGATTCTGGCTTGAAAGAATTTTTTTACATCTAGCGGTATTTTTTGGGCTTTGGCTTTTTTTTATATTATATTTTTTATATTATTATATTTTATTTAGAAAGTTTCGAAATAAAAAAAATTGCCTGAACTTAAAAGTCTCGTAAATTCAAACAGGGTGATTTCAGAAATGTTTCCGATGTCCACATTTTCACGATTTTCCAAACTAAAACGTTGTTTTGCCTATGTTTTTCGTTTCTACAAAAACAGCCTAGAAAAATCTGCTCGAATTTTTGGACCTCTATCAGTTACCGAACTGAAAGATTCTCTTCAAGGTAATAATTTCTCAAAAGGAATCGTTTTCGGAGGAATATTTGTTGTTGCTGAACAATAAAACTGTTGCTAAAGGCCCCTTATCATCCCTAAATCCTTTTATTGATTCGAGTGGTGTATTAAGGGTGGAAGTAAGATTGGTATTGTCAGACTTGGATTATGCTGAAAAACATCCTGCTGTCCTTTCATCTAAGCATGTCTTCGCAAGACTCCTTTTTGCTTCTGAGCACATTATTCTGCTTCATGCTGGTCCTCAGCACTTACTTTCTTCTATACGAGAACATTATTAGGTACTGGGTAGTCGGAATCTTGCTAGAAAGGTTGTTCATCAATGTATTCGTTGTTCCAAGGTGAAACCAAAACCCCTTGATCCAAATTATGGGCCTGCTTTCTAAGGAACGGATTACACCTACTTCTCCCTTTTATACCACTGGAGTCGACTATGCCGGTCCATTAAAGTTAAAATCCAAGCCTGGCAGAGGTGCTAGAATATCTAAATGTTACATGGCAATATTTATATGTTTTTCGACTCGAGCCATTCACTTGGAGTTGGTTTCAGATTTGACATCAGAAGCTTTTATAGCTGCCTTTCGAAGATTCGTGTCCAGGCGGGGAAAACCTGCAAATCTGTGGTCTGATAATGGTTCAAATTTTGTGGGCGCCAATTCTGAATTAGGGGAAATTGTCAAGTGTTTACAGCATCACAATAGTAAGCTTTTAGAAGTGTTTGAGAATGGAGGAGTAAATTGGAATTTTATACCTGCCAAAGCTCCCAATTTTGGAGGAATTTGGGAAGCAGGCGTCAAGGCATGCAAATTTCACCTCAAACGTATAGTCGGTAATGAAGCTCTAATATTTGAGCATTTTTGCACTTTGCTTAACCAGATAGAAGCCACCTTGAATTCCCGACCCTTATTTCCCCTCTCTCCGGATCCTATTGACTATGATGTCCTTACACCAGCTCAATTTCTTATTGGTAAAAGATTGAATAGTTTGCCTGATATGGATTTGAAGGATGTTTCTGATAACCGTCTTTCCAAGTTTCAACACATCCAAAAATGATATCAGCACTTTTGTTCACGTTGGTCCAAGGAGTATCTTGTGTTATTACAGCAAAGGTACAAATGGAAGTTTCCTCAACGAACACTTCTAATGGTGTATTTAAACGACCTATATCAAAATTGTGTCCCCTTCCTATTTATGATGAAGTGACTTAAATATTAGTATTTTTGTTTTTTTTTGCGCAATGGTATTTTGTTATTGCTAATATTTTCACCCAATCATATCTAATGTATTATTTGTTTAGGATTTTGTTACTCTACTGGAAACCTATATTTTGTTCATTTTGTTATTATCTTTCGTTTTTATTATTTCCTTTCCACTCATCACCTGCAATTTGTATGTTTACCTATTTGTTTATGTTGAAAAGGTGACCCTTTCAAGGTGGGGGTATATGTTGAATACAAACTTCGTTTTTATACTTCTCATTTAGTTTAGGAAAATATTGTTAACTTGGCAACGTCAGCAAACCAATGCATAACTTTTAGGCTGGCCCTTTACTTTAAGGCGCGGTACTTTCACTTGCAGATAGCGACATTTATTCTCCAGATTAGAGAATATCCTAGAGATAAGAAAAACGAGCGTATTTTCTCTTCCGTATAGTGATATCTATCAGATAAATGCGGGATAACCTTTAGTTAACGTATCCTGTGGTCAGACCTAAGAATAACCGGTTTTATCTACCGAATAGCTCCTCGCGCAGTGTTAGGTGACAACACAGAATTCTGATGACGTAATTTTCTAAGATTTGTGTTTGTTTGAAAAATTCGTGTGGTTTTTTTTTTTTGTTATTTACAATTTCATTTTTGTACTTAGTATTTCAAATTTCAATGTTTGCGCTTGAAAGCCCCTTGCTGATGATACCCTTCAAAACATGACTGGGGATCGAATAGCAAAGGGAAAAAACTCAACACATTTCTCTGAAGTTTAAAAGTTTTATTTTTTGTTAGAATAGCCGCGTTGTATCAGTCAGGTACAAAGCCGAGCGCACCTGAAGTTTTTTGGAAATTCCAAATTTCCAGGTAGAGGTACGACCATGTAATTTTGAGAAAGTAATGAGTATAGGGTGCCTAAGGACTACTAGATGCCATAATATTATAGGGTTTTTCGTTTTTCCTTTTCGATTTATTTGCAAAAATAATAGGCATGTATCTCTCAGATACACGCGCGACTAATGGAAGATTAATCAGCCACTCCCACTACATGATACAAAAATTATTTAACATAAACGCACCTTCTCTTTCCAAAAAACATAAACAAATGAATATTAAACTCAAATCCACCACAAATCAGTCAAATGACAAGTGGAATGCAGCGGCACGACAAAAACAAGCACCTAGACAAGAGATATATTCTATCTTTATCTGAAGCATTCAACTTCCCATAAGTGTTTCTCACTTTTCGTTTTCTTTGGTTGGTAACACTAGCATTACCGAAATACTGAAGGTACCAGCAACGGATTGTTAGCCCGAGGATAATTTTACCTGAAAATACCCCTCGGATATACAGATAGCGACCTCTGATTTACTTATCCGATAGATAGTAATTCGCCGAATAAATTATATTTATACTGAGGTGAAAGTACCGGGCCTAAGAGAGAAGAGAGAGAGTTGCAAGACGTTGCCGCAGTACCACACCACATATCAAAATGTATCTATCGCTCTGAAATAAAACTAAGTTTTTGTACGAAATGTTGAAGTTTGAATTCATAAAAGTGTAACATCAAATAGCTGAAGCTTAGGTCTCAAAACCTAATACTTATACATAAAAAATAGTTGGCTTGTGCAGAAATTATACATTGTATTAATTAAGTTGTTTCGCGTGATAATAGATAGAAAATTCAAAGTTATCGATAACAAATGAATCCCTTACTTGGCAAAATGATAAATTTCAACAGGTTACTTTGTTGTGTTCCTATGCGAATCTTAAATTTATAAACAAAAAATGGTTGACTTGTGCAGAAATTATACATTGTAGTAAAGTTATTTGGTTGCAATAATGATAGGAACGAAATTTTCCATAATTGAGAGTTATCGACTCAGCAAAATGATACATTTTAATGGCTGACTCCGTTGTGTTGCTATACCAGATTGACGTCAATTAATTGATTACATTATCAAAAATTAGGAATACTTTTTTCGTTCAAATTAGTATTTATATCGAGAATCAGTTCATGGTGTTACAGTTAATCCAGTTCTTCTTCTTCTTCGATACTAAGATTCAACTCGCAAACAAGAAAAATGGCCAATACACCATGCACATTAGTCGTGACGACGGGTGACAAAAATCATTTTCCAAATAGTGATGTTTTGGTTGTGATGAGAGAGATGTTTAAGTGAGTATTTTTTTAATTCTATTTTTTTCTATCAATATTTTATTTATTTTCTTTCAAATTTGACATTGTACATTGGCTTTATTTTTTCTTTAGATATGGTGTTAGGGAAATTGTTGAGCGGGACGGTAAGGTCTACGTCCATTTGACCTACTCGCCCAAAGCTATAACCCTGAAGCGGAAATTTGGGAATCTGCCTCTACGTTATATGCGGACAAAGATAAATAACGAGGCAGATTTCAAAATTCTGGAGAAGGTCTGAAGCGGTATCGGTTCAACCTCTTGGACGAAGAACCGAACGAGGAGGCTGCTATTGTATAGCAAGGTAGTAGTGTTGGTAGCTCGAAGAGGAAGCTGAACATAGAAGAGATCTACTCGTCCTCTTCGGATGAGGACGATGCTGCTGCTGCTGCTAGTGCCAAAGAGAATAACACGAAGAGAGCCAAGACAGAGGAGACATTATCTATGTTATCCGAGGCTGCAACTATGAACCAACCTGGGACTAGCAGTAGCAGCAGCAGTAGTCATCAGTGAGTACATGCCTACTCAGTTATTGTTGATACCGTAAAAAAAAACTGAAAATATGTTTTAATGTATTTTATTCACAAACCAATTATTCAATAGAAAAATATTTTCTCTGGTACAAAATAGATTATTGATAGAATGTGTATTAGAAAGTAGTGAATTTGGAAACAATACAGTTTTTAACTTCTTAAAATTTGGGCATCCCAAGCTATCCATATCGACTATATGGTTATTTATCAAATTACAGAGCCATACTTTTTTCTTGAAGTCCTTGACAAAAACAGTGAAATTTTGAACAATTTCTTGTATAAAATTTACGATATTCTCCAAAGGTAGAAAACTAAAATTAAAACTGTTCCAATCCAGTCCGTGCAGGTTTTGAGTGGTCCACTGAACTTGACGCCTGAAGTCTTCGCTGAACCATTTACTCGGAATTGGTAAATTTATAAAATGGTGGTATAGCTGACCAGTTGCCTGATTTAAGATTGCAATTTCCTTGCAAGCAAAATCACTGTTTTTGAACTGGAAACCTTGTACGTCTAGAATGAACATTTTCTTTTTTCTTTATTCACTTTCGCTAGAGATCTAAAGTACACACACTGTCTGGTCAAGGGATTGTATTTCACTAGTCGATCGTGGAGAATCAAACAGTAAGCTGTGGTGTTTGCTTGAAGCGCTTTTTTCGTTTCAAATTCTACACGAATATCAACAGCACCACCTTTTAGGATGTCTTCACCTTGCCGAGAGCAATCAATGACTACCAGAGGAGTATCTTGTTTGAAATTTATAGGATAGAAGCATGGTTCACTTTGCTCACGATAATAGTAGGATTTTTGCAATTGCGCATACATTTCATATAAGATTGCAAAATAATTGGAGTCAAAGTCCAGATCGAGGTTATCGTAGGGATAAACTTCTGAGTTTAAATAAACTTTTAAATTTGTCAACGTTATGTGGTCAAATCTGCTCATATTTTTCGATTCAACATTTTTTCTTTTTGTTTGGAATCTAATAATGATGAAACGTGGTTTTTCCAACTGATTGGTGGACTTAAAGTCCATGTATGATTTGTTGTACTTTGTAGTTGTGGATATTCGTGCAATTCCCAGCTCCTAAATGCAATATTAAGGTCCAAATTTTTCTCAAAATACTTATGAAGACGTAATTTTTGATCAGACACTCTAACATGTGGCATTTTCCATAAAATTTTACTTAGCGTCACGTTGTATGTTTCTTTTTTATCTTCTTGTTCAATGAGAGCATTGACGTCAGAATTACTTCGTATCAATACAAGTTCCTGTCGCACATTCAAAATAATCTTATAATGATCCTCAAAAAATCCCATTAGAATTTTCAGAGGTATACATGCATGAAAATTTCCGTTTCCATCCAAAAGTGCTGGATTTGATTTGGCATCCCAACCAGCATTTACCAAAACATTATTTTCGCTTTCCTTGAATGAAACATAACCTTTCATTGTCGACGTCATTGCAGGGTTTCTAACACGATCAACAATAACGCCTCCCAATTCATAGCGAATTTCATCAAATAAGTGGGCCAATCCATTGTTATTAAAGCTTACATTGTTGCTGAACGTTACGTTATCAGACAATAAAAGTTTACCTTCAATATACAAAAAACTTTGGCTGGGTTTCGCTTACTTTCAGAATATTACGACTCATTTTCTTCTTTTTCAAATTCTTCAGTACACTTGAAATTACATCTAATAGAATAATTATTCTTCTTATGCTACAACCCACTCGTAGTTCAATGTTGACCCAAAATTGTATAAATCTCTTTTTTATCGAAATGATGACACTATTGCTATTGTTACTGCACTTTTAACTTGAAGCCTAACGAAATCAAAAAGTTTTTATTCTGCACTATTAGCCGTTTGACTGATTTTCCAACACTGAAGCGATTTCCCTTCAGTGGCTTATTTTTAAAGGCTTTTTGTGTTCTGGACTCGTTGGTCGTTGTTGTTGTGTTGTTGTCGTTTTCTTTGTAATCATTGTTATCGGAGGGTGCACTAAATGAATTATGATTATATAAAAACACCATTTTTGTTTTTACTACGACGACGACGCTTTTCTCAAGTGCAATCGAACAGTTATCAATTCACTGCGGAAATTAATGGCTTCTTCACTCTGATCGGTAATTTTCAATAAAATTTCATCAATGTATCGCGTACTGATTGGTAAATAAATGACATTCGAGGGCTTTTCAAGAATTTTAAATCCTGGTGGTGAGGTGGGATAGAACATGAACCGGATCACTGTTATTGTAGGAATTTATCACTAAATTACATTCAATACAAATTGCATTGACCTTGAAGATATCCACTGGGCTCTCCGACACCTGTCTTTTATTTGCTTCAAGTTGTTGTTGACTTTTGAATCCCAATAAACTTCCAATAGAATTTTACTTGTTAAAATGTATATCTTTGTTGCACAACATTTCACCCAGTAATGTATTGTGATTGGCGAGTATGTTTATTTTTAAATCGTCTTCTTTATTATTGTCTCTTACATAAGCATTCAAGTAATCATTGATGTCTTTTATCTCATAGGAGCCTTCTGGAATTGTTATCGATGACCTACCATCGATGTCATAGTGGAACGTATTATTTGAACTGTCAATGTTCGGTATGGAATTGTAACTCTCAAAATTGATAAGACCCAAATCGAATTGTTCGGAATCGTTGAGAACTATGGGTGGATGAATATTTGCAGAAAGGTTAGCTGATCTTCCCGATAACGTGAACGTATACGACATGCTTACTTTTGAAAAGTCTACTTGATAATAAGAGACAACTAAGTACATTTTGAGTATTTATTTGGTTTTACAATGATATAAAAAACTTAAACATAAATGACCACAATTTACAGAATTATACGATTGATAAGGATTTTGGTTATAAAATATTTTACAGTCGCCATTTGAATTGAAGTACTTGACAGATTCCAAAGGTGGTCGCAAATTGCCAAAACTATCAAAATAGTGGATGTTTTTACCAATTTTTTTATATGTTGTCCAATGAGTTCCAACACCTGTGCTGTTATCCAAATTGATAATACCAGATTCGTTTTTGTGTATTTTCATTGTGGGTAATTGATCCTTCATGAATACACCACGAAAATGTTTAAGTTTCCATCGTTTGATTATGACTTTGATTTTCCTTCAACTGTTGATTGGCGAACTTGGCATCATTACCAGCTTTAGCAATCCCTGCGGCTCCTCCACTCAAAGCACCCAATGCGCTAAGTCCAGCAAATATTGGCATTAATGGTAGAATGCCACCAGTTTTAGGTACTCTTATTATTCGAGCTGGTCTTATTTCACCTTTGGATTTGTTTATACTTTTTAAAGCAACTTTGATTGCGCTTTCCAATCCCTGAGACTTTTCACGCTTTAAGCTATCCTTCACTGTTTTAGTTACATTTCTTAAACTAATATATTTTTTTTCCTCGTTTATTTTGTTGACTTCTCCTTTTAGTACCAATACGGGACTGTTGTGGACGTTTTCTTTGTTTTCTTCTGTTTGTTTTTCGTGACCTTTTTTTGTTACCAGTAGCAGCATCAGCACTAGTCATTATTACCTCTTCTTATATTGAAGGCTTACACAAGAAAAATGTAGTTAAATTGGAATTTTTATCTAATAATTTTTTTTTTTTAATGTTTCATCATCATCATTATCGAATTTCCTTTTATTATTGTTATCTAATTGGTTTGTTTCCATTTTTAACAATTTTGATGGAATATCAATATCAGTGGTGGTGGTGGTGGTGGAAGTGTGATCAATTTTCCTTTTTTTAGGTAATTTTATAATTTTCCTTCTTTTGATTTTGAAACCATCCAATTGTGTTATAGATTCATAATTTTCAAGTTTACGTTTTTGAGTTTTGGTATTAGTGATTTTTCTTTTTTTCACTTCTTCCTCTTCTGGTTTAAATCCATCAACATCATCATCATCATTATCAACAAGTTTACGTTTTACTGCACGCCTATTTATTTTTGGTTTAGGATCAACTCTTTTAACAATTTAATTTTTTAGTGTTTTTTTTAGTGTTGTTTTTTTTTGAGTGATCTGTGATTTGTTTCTCCAACCAGTCTAAAGAGTTCAAATAATTTTGTGTCATTTTCACACCGCGGTGAATTAGATTCAAACATTTTCGCTGAATTTTCGAACGCAGTTCTTTAGCACTTCCACCATGATCATGAGCAACATCAAGACCCATACCGAATTTAACTTTTGCATGAATGGCTGCAGCTACTCCTGTGGCTGCTAGTTTTGCCGATAACGCTGCATTTTTTGCATTTATTCTCTCCAAAGCCCTCCTCAACAATATCTTATCAGCCTCGTGACGTTAATCCAAATGTTCATTTTTTGAGTATGCTATATCATGTTCCTTACATGCCTCATCCAACTGATTAACACCCTTGTCACCTCTGGCCAAACGTTTTTGTAGCTTTGTTCCAGGACCGCAGTAGTTGTAGCCAGGTAAGTGTAGTTCAAAGGGCGATCTATTAATAGCACTGTTTAGTAATCCTTCACCGGTATAACGATTGGAATTATTCACATAGTAGTTCATGTTTTATCAACAAAACACAATTTAAAACTAAATGAAAATTGTGATTTCACCAGAGCTTTATACATTTCATGAGTGAATGTTGACCAATTAGCTACCTACGTTTTATTTACTTTTTTAAAGTTAGTGAGAAAATGAAAAAAATCATGAAACAAAAAATTCGTTTGGAAGTGAATAACCACGATGATGATGTCAAAAGCAACAACATATCTTCAAAACATGGCAAATTGCTACCTCATAGTATTTGAGGTCTAATAGTTGGACCGTCGAATTGTGGTAAAACCAATGTAATGCTTACTCTTCTGGAACATCCCAATGGTGTGAAATTTGAAAATGTCTACCTATACACGAAAAGTATTTGCTCGCACTCCTGAATTAAGTATTGAAAAAGAAGTTAATTTTGAAAAGAAAAATTATACGAGAAAAATTAAATTTGTTGAAACAAGGACAAATACTACAAGAAAATCTTTTTCAACCCATCACGAAACACTTGACGAATATTGAAACTCAATTGGATAAAAATCAAAATCTGGAGCAACAACAAGAAAAGACAACAATCGCATTACCAAAAACGAAAAAATTGGAAAAGGAACAGGATGAAAAAGATAATTACGATTATGAAGAAGATGACGTATTCAAAAAAGTAAATTCAGAATTGTATGAGCCTACACCACGATCCTTGGTTGCTGCTGCTGCTGCTGTTGATAACACCCCACGTGTTCGTAAAACAACAAAAATCAATCGGAAATTACCTTTCACACAAATTAGTGATAAAAAAACAAAAAAATCAGATCAACGACAACATAATTATAATTTAAGAAAGTTACTGCTCAGGGACAATGTTGAAAAATATGCTACAGATGAAGAGGAAGCTAGAAAACAAAAGGATTTTAATGAAAGTCGTCAAAATGAATTTTTAAGCCTGTCACAAATTGAATATTTGGATCAAGTTGATCCATTGCTGGCAAAATATATACAAGAATTTATAAATGACCCTACTACTGATCCAACGTTAGAGGGAAATGTTTTACCTAAATTTCGTATAAGACGTGATGAAATTGATAATTTCTACATTGGTAATTCCAAAGTCGAAATCGTTGGATCTGATTTAATAGTGAAAGGAAGAAGATACAAAGGAACCCCAGGACTGTATAAATCACTGTTCAGAAAAAATATGCCTAAAAGTTATATGAAGCTGCTTTCAAGGACATTATCTGAAGAACCAATATAAATAGAAAAAGGTTCAAGACCACTGGAGATGAAAATGACATTCAATCTGAAAAATTTAAACTACTTTTCGAACCTCTAACAACTACTGGAAATGGAATGATTGCATCATCAGCAGAAATGGAATATTCCAACGACTCAATTGATTACGTCTAGTGGTATGATCCAAATGAACTTGTCGAACGCTTACAACTGTTACTTGCTTCCCAAACGGCAGGCAATACAAACCATAACAAAGAGATTAA